TGACTCGACTTTAGCTCAAGAATAGGACCTTTTCTAGCTAGTTAGAGGTTACCTTTTTGGCGTAAATGGGGCTTGCCACGTTGGGTATAGGGCTGCCTCTGTTCCTATGTGTATATAGCCGCGATGGATATGTGCCATAGGAAAGGGGGTTCCTACATTTGCTCGCCAAGGAATCCTAGCGGCCCTAACTTGTTAGGGAAACCTATGAAATGGCTTCATAGTGTACCCCCCTGCCACCTTGGAAGTGACATGGGAGTAATTAACCCGGGCATATGGGGATCACGACTCATGGTGAATGTGCACCACCTCTGCAGAGGGTAACAAATCTATTATAACAAGCCGTGCTCACTATTCTGACGGCCGGAAAACTTACGAATAATCGGATACTTGATGATGATCTTATAAAGTTGTTTAGTGATGATATATGGTACATATGACTCCGATATATGTTCTTATGGGAATTAAATGGGAGCTTAAGCATAACTTGATAATACTTGAGAATAAAAGCTTGACCTATTAAAAATGCTAACTGCAGTTAACTAGAGTCTAACCTTTTGAGCTTCATAACCCCATGTTAGCTTGCTAAGTACGGAATGTACTTACACTTGTTTATTTTCTTTACTTGGATAAAAATCCTTGATGGGTAACAGATGACAACGGGTATGAGGATTTCCGGAGGATTATTAGGCTTGTGGTCAACCAGTTGACCTTCCCTGTGATGACGGCCACGAGAGTTTTATTATCTTTTTATTATTCCGCTGTGATGTATAAGACTAAGTTTTATTATAACTCTGATGTATGAGACACCGTGATGATACTTTATGTAATTTGTCAGCTTGTGTGTGTGATTGATTCCTGGGCACACACGAGTTTTGTGCATTCAATTTTATCCTTAAAATTGGGTGTGACACCCGTAGAGTGCGGATAGTCCGACGGTGCCACAGACGCCCTGTACAGTAAAGACAGGGTTTCACAGAGTGCACCGGACGCTGGTCACGTGGTGACCGGACTCTGACCCTGCGTCCGGTCAGTAGCAGCTGTGAGCACGCGGTCTCGGTCTCATGACCGGACGCTGGCGCGAAGAGTGACCGGAGCGTCCGGTCAGTACTGACGTACGCTGACATGGTAGCGTGAGGAACAGCAGTGACGTGTGGTTGTTGGAGAATGACCGGACTTAGGTGCTATGTTTGGTCGCAAAAAAAGGTTCGGGGAGTTCTCTGGAAACGATCGGACTCTGGCTTGTCTGCGTCCGGTTGGGCATGACCGGACGCGTCCGGTCGCGACTGGAACCTTGCTGGAAGTGCCCGGACGCTGGGGTCCTGTGTCTGGTCCTTCACTGTAGCGCGTCCGGTCACAACTTAAGTGCACCGATGACTGTTGAGATCGTGTGGTGTAGATTCAAAGGAGGTGACACATGGCAGACATCCACTAACTGAATGCCGAGGTCCTGCGTCCGGTCAATATGATCGGCGTGCCCGGTCGGTGCGCAGCGTTGCTCTGAGAGCCCAACGGCTCTATTTTGTTGTGGGCTATATTTAAGGCATGTGGTTGGCTCTAGCTCACTCCCTTGGCCATTTACATTGACATAGCAACCTTGTGAGCTTAGCCAAAGCCCTCCCACTCATCTCCATCATTGATTCATCATCTTTGAGAGATTGGGAGAGAATCCAAGTGCATTGCTTGAGTGTTTGCATCTAGAGACACTTGGTGTTCGTGTTTCGCTGCGGGATTCGCTTGTTACTCTTGGTGGTTGCTGCCACCTAGACGGCTTGGAGCAGCAAGGATCGTCGAGCGGAGGTTGGTGATTGTCTCCGGCTCCGATCGTGGTGATTGTGAGGGGTTCTTGACCTTTTCCCAACGGAGAGCCAAAAGGTATTCTAGTAAATTGCTCGTGGCTTGTGTGATTCTCATCTTGTGTTGGTTGTGTGGCACCCTATTAAGGGTTTGGCGTGTGATGTCAATTAGTGCGTGAACCTCCAAGTGAGTGAATCGCCACAACGAGGATTAGCTTGCCGGCAAGCAAGTGAACCTCGATAAAAATCATTGTGTCATCATTTGATTCCGAGGTGATTGGTCTTCATTGGTATTCATTCTTGTGATTGATTGGTTCATTTCTCAACTCGATGGTATAACCATATTGCTCACTCTCTCTTTACAGTATTGCAAACTAGTTGTCAAGCTCTTTAATGTAGCTAGTCGTGAGAGCTTGTTAGTTTGGTTAGTGTGGTTCTTTAGTTAGCCTTTGAGAGCACACTAACTTAGTGTAGTGACATAGCTATTGGGTGGATAGAGACTATATAAATTAGAATTGAGGTAGGTGGCTTGCATTTTTAGTAGGCTAGCGCAACACTCGCTTCGCCTCATATTTGTCTAACCGGTTTGCTAAGTGTTGTTGTAGAAATTTTTTAATAGGCTATTCACCCCCCTCTAGCCATTAACACCTTTCAGCATGTCGCGCGAGGTAGGAGCCGAAGCCATGCCGAGGCCGTTGTCTACCGGGCACCGGAGCCATTGCACAATGTGCAACACCCGATCTACTTTTGAAATATCCAGATGAAACATTTGCATCTTACGTCTGTAGACATATGAAACACTTGAAACATACATCTGAAACACATGCAAAACACCTGAAAACTCATAAAAAGACATTTAAATACGGAACATTCAGATAAAACCCTTGCAACATATATGTGAAACATATATAACATCCAAACAAACACACTTGCAACATACGTCTGAAAAAACAAATAAAACATTTGGAACATACACTTGCAACATACGTGTATAGCCATTGCAACATGTGCAACATCCCGATCTACTTTTGCAACATCCAGATGAAACGCATGTAACATCCAGATAAAATATTTAAAACACTTGAAACATACGCTTGCAACATGTGCGCCACGCGAAGCTCCTCCATCGGCCAGGGGAACGACGGCATTGGCAACACCTCGACGCGGCGGGGGACAGGGCATGGCGCACAACGGCAGGGATGGGCATGGAGTGCAGGGCGGGGATGAGGCACGAGCGCAAAGGCGGGGACGGGGCGACGCGGGATGGCGGCTTGGGGCGGGCGGATGGCGCAGCTCACCGTGACGAGCGAAGCGAGTCGAGGGAGTTGGAGATTTCTCGGCTATCATAGTGTAGAGATTTTTTTGAGGGGATGTCGTAGTGTAGAGATGGAGGAGAGACGATAGATGGAGCAGGCCTGTCGTTGGCTATTGGGCCGGTCGCCGTGCAGGCCCAGGTACAGGGCGTTCGGACGGATGCCCTCACCAAAGTATTATCGTTTTTCTCTATATATGGAGAATTTCTTATTTTCTCTGAATTAAATGGACACAGGGCCTATATTATGTCGTTTTACCTTATAGTTTTACAAGATACAAAACATAAGAATAAATGACAAAAGTACAACAAATCCACATGCTATGGAGTTTCCTTTTTTTGTTACTTTATTAGATTTTACTCTGTTTATCCTTTATTGGTTTAATTCATTTTGATTCTCTCCCTCCCATGTTTTACGTACAAACTCATGGTTTTTTTGGGTACTACAAATAAGGAGGCAGTGTTTCCCTAAACGCTAAACGGTAAACAGTCAGTCACCTACCGTTTAGCCCATTATTCGGACAAAACGGTTGTTTAAACGGGCAAAACGACCATTTAAACAGTCAAAACAACCCATTAAATGGAAACAGTGTACCACATGTAATGTTTAAACGGTGTGTAAACGAACTAAACAACCATTTAGACAAACAGTGTAAGGAGGAATCCATGGTCACATCGTGGAGAGCTACTTGTTTCTAATTTGTGGCTCAATATTCGGCAGCTTGCGAGTTTTGCTTAAAACTCAGTTTGAGTGACTCCGGATTCTCTCTGTTATCAGATGCCCGTTCTGCACATTGTTGAGCTCATTTGCTCCCAACTCTAAGTGTTCCAACTGAAAGGTTGTTGAGCTGCCCTCTTCCTTTCAAGAACCCAACCAGCTAGGGTGAAGAAACATCCACAACCTATTACAATTCACCACCGTGACAATTCTGTGAAGCAACAAAAATCAAGATGAAAATTGTAGAATCCACACCCCAGCACGAAGTACATCCATACCACGGTGGCAAGGTAACAAGTATATAAACCTTTCCAGAGTAAAGTAATATATAAGCTTCACCTTCCGTTCCTACATACTCCTAGTACATCATCACCACAGCAGGAACCCTGGCAGCATTGTATATTTCTAATAGTCTTACTTCTATTTGTATAGATCCAACAGAAGAACTGCTGACAGACTAAGGCATCGCTTGCCCAGGAATTCAATCCTGAAAGAACATTACAATCCACGAGTCATCTCTCCATGTAGATTAGCATCGCGATGCTGCTCTCAAGTGCCTCCGTTGGTGAAACAGCAGGAGATCGAAATTTATTCCATTAGTCTTTAGAGGGAACTTTAAGCTTTATGCAGAATGGTACAACAAAGATCCTGAATTCTGCTAGGGTCTAAGGAGACCTATGCAGGCTGAATATTTCTGATGGCGTTATTACATCAGAAATAAGTGTGGAGATACTGTGCAGAACACTGCATGCCAGATCCATCAGATTACTGTTCTTTGCAGTAGATGCAGTGGTGAGAGCTGTCTCACTGAGTCACTAGGTCATGGGTTTGAAGCAGCCTCTCCGCAGATTTTGCGGGGAAAAGGCTTGTCTCGGTTTATCCCTTCCCCATACCCCACTCATGTGGGAGCCTCCGGCACTGGGTCTGTCCTTTTTAATAACGCCATCAAAACTATTCAGCCTGCAAAGGAAACACAGTTTAACTTTAACTCAGCATTGGGAAGTGACATGTCAATGAGGGATAAACGGAAAATGAAACTTGAAAGAAGGCAGGGCGCCATAAATTTTGCAGCTTTGCAACACAACCATGTTAAATATATATTTTATACCTAAGCAAAGTGTTTAAGATACACAGCTGAACAAAGTTTGTTCATTTAATTATACTTACAATGAAATCTTCACGATTTTTTGGCAGCATTCCTCATCGATTCATATAGAGCAATACCACCATTGTGGCAGCCAGGCATTCGCTGCCTCATTCCTTGTAGCTCTTCCTGTAATTCAAAAGCATCTTTACTGATTATAAGCAGCCAACCAAAAGCAAGCTAAGGATCAGAGAGCTGCTAGAGCAGTTAAAACGCACCACAGATACTGCATACAGTTTAGTAGATTCATAGCCATCTTGAGCTCTAGAATAAAGCTCATTTACGCCACTGGAGTCAATGTTACATTTTGTAAAAAAGAATGCAGTTGACCTAACATTAACTTCTCGGCGAGAAACTCCAATGAACACAGGATCGGTCTGCAGATTGAAATGTTGATAGTTAATGAACATACTTGGAAAGTCGTGAAATCAACAGATCTTTCTTGGATGACAATTAGAAACAACTAAAAGCAACCTTTCCATTGGATCCTGTTTATGTATACGAACCACTATACTACACTACGTGACATATATTTTAGGCCTCTACTTACTAGGGAGCTAGCAGGAACTCCAGTTTCCTCAACCACTTCACGGATGATTCCGTCAAACATTTCTTGTGAAACTCGTTCAGTGAGACAAGCAAAGTCTCCATCAGTTTGATGACCCATAATTCCAATTTCTTGTGGCTGGCATAAACAAAGTGAAGATCAATAATATGAAATGTATTTTACAGATCTGCACTCAACCGATTGTTTCAGGCTTAAAAACTAAATATTTTTCTCCTCATGCACCGTCCCCTGCCCCAACTTCCTCCAAAGAAAGAAGCCATGTTTCCAAGTTCTAATTTTGATTCCTCCTCTAAAAGTAGCTTCATAGTCAGCATGCTAACTGACAGGGGAGAAGAAACAATTTTAAGCAATAAATAGGGCTGAGCAATGCATGATTTATAAATTTCAGTTAAATTTCAATATACATTTTCCTTAGTCCATAATTATGACATATAGTTTCCTTCTTGAAAAGTCACTTCAAGTAAACATGCTACCTCAAAAAGAAAATCTCAGCATGCTGATAGGCAGAAGAAACCACTAAATCAGGCAGTACCGCAGCCTGCAGTAATGTTGCTATCATCTTTATTTTGCAGCGTAAGAGAAACTACATTACACCTAGTGCTACATTTGTCAATTAGTTCTATAAAAACTAAGCTGTACATCAAATATCTACACAGATCTTCGCTTTCATCATCTGCACTCATATTGTCAAGCAATCTTAAAGGATTTACCTCCGAGTGTCCTCCAGGGAAAACATAGTATCCTGGAAAGTCCACCACATTGTAACTCCTTTGCAATACAATAATCTTTTCGTCAGATGTTTCAACTATAGCACCATTGCCCAGTGGATCTGACATGTGTTGGTAACGTACAGAATCATCTATTGAAAGAGGAATTGTTTTGGTCAAGGCTGATCATTCTTACAATTCTGTACAAAGATTGACACCATGTTGTCTGAGGCTCTGAGCACACAAAATACTAAGACAAACTATCTAATGAATAGTTACTGTCCCAGAGCAAACTTACTAGGAAATGGAAGGTGAAACAGAGGGACACGAATATACTTATCAAGGATTTAAATTTCTGAAAGCTGAAGCAATGGAAGAAACTAGAGGACTTCAAAGTTTAAGATTCAAAAAGGCCCTGATACGCACAACCAGCTGTATTAAGTTTCAGATTACAAATTACCTTCAGATGGAACAAAAATTTCTCCCACGATGGATTGAGATTTGTTCCCACAAATGTCCTATTTCATGCAAGTAGAAACAATTGTTAATTCAAGGCAGTGTTCAAAAGGCGACTAGGCATCCAGGAGAGTGCTGGGTCCGCCTGGACGCCTAGGCGACAAGGCGCCACTGTTTCCCAAGGCGAGCTGGGTATGCCTGGATGCCTAGGCGACACATTTGAAACACTGATTCGAGGCATTAAATCAAAATATCACAAAGAAAGTTACAGGCTGTAAAAAAATTGGTTTAAAGATCTGTTGGAAATGAACACAAATGGTCAAACCAACCTGTAGTCTGTGAGACCCAAATGAAGTGAGACACAGTACTCATGACCATGATTTGAGCCATTTTTGTAGTGCAAGGCATTTCCTCCGTACTGAAATTTGTTGTTGTTGTCAGTGTTTGCATTCTACTACCCGATGAACGCAGTCAAGCAGGTAAAGAGAGATTGTTTCAAAATATTGCATACATGAACTTCTATAATGACACATGTTTAGCTATACAGAAAAGAAGCAGAAATACTAACACATGCTAGGACACAAGTCATCATTACTTAACATTCATTGCTTGGCAATTCCGTGCAGATAGTAGAAGTGAAGATGCAAGTGCATTTGGATGAAAGTAATGAATGTAACTGACTAGGAATTCCCCTAAGGACTTAGAAACACATATAGGGAATCCAATATTTTAACAAAGCCTTCGAGAGCTACATTTAGGAGCTTGTGTAAATTCTGAGCAAAGACATGTTTTTTTGTATAAATCGTCTTCGTATAGAACATGCACCAAACAACTTAATATTCAAGAAGCTTTCAGTTTTCTCATTTTAATACAACATGTTTGTCAGTAAATGGTAGCATCTTCAAGACTTCAAGTATCAGTGGAGCAGCAAAAAAGAGCATGCCAGGATAGGGCTAAAAATACATACCCGAAACTTTGTACCGCTGTATAGAGATGGGTTCTGCTGAAGGCTTTGGTTCCATATCTACAAGATCAACAAATATAAAGAATGACAATGGACGCATGCATGCGTCAGATAGATGTATGATATAGGTAGACAAACATTACCTCACTTATAGATTCCTCCAAGGCTGCATCAGGATGGGGAATCCTGTCGAATGACCGATCAAACTTAACCAAGACCTTCAGTTCGCACCATGAGCTCAATCAGAATGTTACTGTGTTGTAAAGCAAGACACTTTTGGTACTTCCTCCATTCACAAATAAGTCCATCTATAGGTTTGTACAGTCAAACTTTTTTTTTACCTTTGACTGTGAATATAGAAAATTTTATAAGGATTGACAACACAAGATTTAGCATTACAAGATTCATTGTGAAAAACGCTTCATAATATATGAGGGCCTGTTTGGATCAAGACCTGAAAATTTTGCCTGGTCAGACAGCTCCCCCAGTCCGTCGGTTTCCAACGCACAAGTCAGGCTTCGATTCAAACAGGCCCTAACTCTTTTTATTTAAAGTAACAAGTAATGTATTTTTATAAATATTATTGATCAAAGTATCATGTTGAAACTCTGTTATACTATTTCCGGTCAGAGAAATATGGCAGCAGTTATTAGCACTCCACACTGTCTTGAACGAGCTAAAGAAATAACATCACGGCAGTTCATGGCAACAGCAGCACACATCCAAACACTCGAGGCTTAGTCGCTCTATTGTTCATCAGAAGGCCATAGCTGGAATGCGTCATTCAGGATTTGGGGAAACGACATGATAAACAGAAAAATACAGGCGAAGCTAGAAGGATGCAGCAACCAAAAGTCGTTCTTGCCGCCGCGCGGTGGTCCGATGGAGGAAACGGCCGGCGGAGGCAGGCGCCGTTCCACCCAACCAAACGGACATGCAATCGGGAGGGAGACGAGGAGGAAGGGGAAGGTACGCACGCGGGAGCGAGGGAGGCCGTCGGGGCAGGAGAGGAGTATCTTGAACGCCGTGCCTGGATCTGCGGCGGAGGCGGGGGCGGGGGCGGCCATACGGGCTCCCGGTGCGGGTGGCGGGGCGACGGAGACGGGGTTGGCCGGTGCGCGGCAGCGGCGGTCGGCGGCAGGTTGGGTGTCAGAGGCAACGTACAGTACAGTACGAGACGCTGGCCCCGTACGTACAGTAACCGGCTTCTTTTTTTTTCGTCCGGAACACTGTTTCCTACAGCAAATTCCTCCAGTCATTCAGATTTCTGCCAACGAACGGGGCCGCTATCTATCGCGCGGTCGCACTGTCAGAAAAGCTCCTATTATGTCGTGTCGCACTTGTTGTCTGAGGCCATGTTTAGTTCAGCACCGATTCGGCGCCGCCGAAAAACCGGACACATTAGCTACACTGTAGCGTTTTGTTTTTATTTGATAATAATTGTTTAATTGTTGACTAATTAGGCTCAAAACGTTAAATCTCGCGCAAAATACAATCAAATTATGTAATTAGTTTTGATTTAAATCGATATTTAGATCATTACATATACCGTATATTTAGTACTTTGATTTTCTTTTTTTCCATAGTCTAAATTTGAATTTGGACGAAAACCACTGAATTTTGACTTTGGCTTTATTTCAAAAGCCAAATTCTAAAAAAGGGTTGTTTTTGAGGATGTTTTTTGAAGCAATTTTTATTCATTTTGAAGCGAGTTGACCTGCTTTTGGCTTTTGGTTAAAAAGCTTTCCATAGTTGTTTCAAGAGAGATAAAGATAAAAGGTATATTTTATAAACCAAACTTTTTTTTTTCTTTTCCACAACCAAAGATTTCTACAACTTTGACAAAGACACAAGCTTTTTTCCCATACACGTAAGGCCCCTTTTGGTTGGGATTTCATTTTTTTAAAAGCTAAAAACCCAACCCTTGACTTTTTGAAGCTTTCTTTTTGCTTTTCATTTTGTCTTTTTGGCTTTTCGCTTTTAAATTGGTGGAATAAAAAGCTCTTCATAGTTGTTTCAAGAGAGATAAAGATAAAAGGTATATTTTATACTTGTTTAACCAAACAGCTTTCAGCTTTCTACAGCTCACAGCCCACAGCAGCTTTTCCACAACTCACAGCCCACAGCAGCTTTTTTTCCACAGCCACAGCTCAACCAAACAGGGCCTAAACCTGGCCTGAATGTCAGGAAATTGCAAAATTGTTTGTTAGCTGATGGATCGCTCAAACAAGAACATTTTGTACAAGATCTCGCAGATTTGTGTGTGAGATAATGAACTGTTGACATGTGCGGATACACTGTACATAGTAGTGCTAGAGCCCGAACGTCCGTATCGGATGCCCGCGCGTTGCACTTCGTTACGTGTGCTCCACGCGAGGCCCGCGCCGCCCGAGCGATAAGAAGGGAAGGGGGTGGCGCCTCCGATTCGGAAGGACCCAGCCGCGGCATTATATGAATGCCCTGTCGGCATCGACGCTGAGAGGAGAACACACCGAGACGATACAACAGAAGGTGAAGAGGAGAGATGTAACATACGATCTGTTTTTGAAATATCGATATGCAATGACATAAGGTGAAGAGGAGATAAAACACTGTAAACATGCATCCAAACATTTAAAAACACACTTTTGAAATATCCAAATAAAACATATGCAACGTATGTGTAACATATGCAACATCTAAAGGCAACGATAAAAAACACTTGAAACATGCATCCAAACATTTAAAAATGCTATACACTACTTTTGCAAATCCATTGCAAACATAATATATATCTCAAACATCCAAAACACTCAAAACATACTCTTGGAACATGATAAAACATATGCAGAGCGCACTGCGCGAATGATGAGCCGGCCTGTGCGGTGAAAAGGAGGATATGCAACATCCGCCCCGATAAACACACTTGCACACGCCAATGTGAGTCCCGTAAAAACACACGCGTGGTGCCCACCACGGTGATAAAACATTGATAAACCTGCATGGGGAGCTTTTGCAACATACGTGTACAAACATTGAAACATATGCTATATCCCGATCTACTTTTGCAACATCCATCTGAAACACTTGCAACATATATCTGAAACATCTGAAACATCTTGTTCGGCACCAGTAGTAGAATTGAAACAGCAGGATAACAGATCAATCTAGCAGTAGCACGGGTGCCACCAGTTTTGTTTGACAGCATGAGATCGACAGAAATCTTGTACAAACTCCTGTGGGACATTCTGCATTGCAAGTTCGATTCCGGTGGGGGTCTGTACATGTACTGTACAAGCTCCTCCTTGTACCCGGCAGCGGATTTTGTCCGGAAAAGCTACGTACGCTCCACCCAGAGCCCATTTCTTCATTTGGCCCTCGTTTAGTTTGGCCCGAATTCGGCGCCGGCAAAGTACTGTAGCCACAGTAGCTACTGGAGCATTTCGTTTGTATTCGATAATAATTGTCCAAACGTTGATTAATTAGGCTTAAAATGTTTGTCTTGCAGAGTACAACCAAACTGTGCAATTAGTTTTTGATTTCGTCAATATTTAGTACTCCATGTATGTACCGCAAGTTTGATGTGACGGGGAATCTTCTTTTTGCATAGTGCCAAAGTTTAGAATTTGGGGTAACTAAACACCCCCTTGGCCGCTGATCTCTACCAAAAAAGGATTGTTGCTGTTGATAACCCATTAACCCTCTATGTGAGATTTAATTTGTGAGCGAGAAGAGCAGTCGGCCTGACCCTTGCAGCCCTCTGCTGACTGCTGCTGCCAATTGTGTTTAGAGCAGGACTTTAAGCGTGGCGCTGTTTATGTGGGCATGTTCGATTGAACTTATCACCGCTTTATTAGCTAATCTAATGTATTTTTCTCTCATAATAAAATAGCTTCAGCCGGCTTTAATACCATCCGAACAGACCCAACGGACATTGCGGAGCTCTGAAAGATGCTCGCCGGCCGACGACTGGACTGCCTTTGCTAGCTCCTGCTATCAAGCTCAGGGGCGGCGCGGGGGTGCCGGTGTGCCCGTCCATTTGCTCGCCGCCCGGTACGTGTTTGGGCTTACGGGTAGGGGGGGGGGAAGAAAAGTAAACATGAGAGGACAAAAAACAAAAACAAAAACAAAAATAAACAAAAGAAATGACGACCACAGTGGGAGTCGAACCCACGACCTTCTGATCCGAAGTCAGACGCGCTAATCCACTGCGCTATGCGGTCATTTGACGTCTGAGGTTTCCGTTGATATTACTTAACCTAGTTTAGCATCGCATTCTCACTCAAACTAAAGTAAGAAAACTGTGAGGTCTCCCAGCACCAAGATTACTTAGGTTGTCTGAGCTTGCCGTAAGCTACCTTAACATCTTTCTTTTTTTTTAAGGTATAAGCGGCAAGAGCTATGTCTTTGAATTAAGACAGAAAAGAGTTGATCCAGTTAAGGAAAATCAGGTCGAAAAATATTATATACTTGCATGGTTTAACTAAAAAGGAAAACCAGTAACAACCCTAACATCGATAGCATGACCGATTAGCCAACACAAAACAACACAGCCCCACCACAGGTCACAAACACACCCTTGCAGCAAGAACTAAGGTGGTGTTTGGTTGCCCCTCCTAAATTTTAGTCGCTGTCCCATCGAATATTTGGACACATGCATGGAGTATTAAATATAGACTAATTACGAAACTAATTGCATAGTTTGCAACTAATTTGTGAGACGAATCTTTTAAGCCTAATTAGCCCATGATTTGACAATGTGGTGTTACAGTAAACATATGTTAATGATGAATTAATTAGGCTTAAAAAATTTATCTCGTAGAGTACTGATGGATTATATAATTTATTTTTTAAGTATCCGAACACCCCCACGCCTCCTAAATTTTAGTCACTCGATCCAAACATCACCCCAAAGAGGCACTGCAGATGTCATCACTGTCGAGCTATGTTGGACCCCCACAACATAGCAGCTCCGACTTCGCCAAAGCAAACTCTTCCAAGCAATTCAATCACCCCCCTGCAGTGCAGTGCAACACAGAAAGGTAGAGCCTCATCGAAAATGAGCAAGAGGACCAAGTACTAATCGATGAACACGAACTCTGAAATGACGCCTCAAGGAAGAAGGATGTAGCACCGAAAGCGCCAACGTCAGTGGTACAAGGAATCTGGACATGGTTTTCACCCAAAGAATCATGCAAAGTGAGAGGAAGGGCAGCACAATGACACCCGCAATAGGGGGAAGCAACGCCCTTGAGTGTCGTTGTCATTGGCTCTGGTCGCACCGGTCAAGCCTTGCGCCCCGAGCCATCCATCCACAGCAGCCACGTGACACGCCACATGCCAAGAGGACATCAACCATGATGCCTCACGCGAACGTGCCACCAACAATGTGACGCCAACGCCAAAACCGTGGCCCTTGCTAAGCTGTCGTTTCTGATATTACCAAAAGGCACAGCTAAGGCCATGGCGTGGCCGCCGCTTGCCGCTAGAGGGCAAATGCCATCCATGCTGACTCAGCGCACGACCGACGCTTGACCAAGACGTACCAAAGTCGACCTTCACCCCACCACCATAGACTGCTCCTGGCTAGATCTAGCCATAGGGAGACTAGATCCACCCAAGGGGACAGCGGACAACCGACCCTCGAGTTGGCGCCGCCCAGCCTTCGCCAAGGTCACCTCTAGGAGTAGGCACGAGAGGGAAGGGGATGAGAAGGAGTGCTTGGGCTTAGGGAGAGAGCCCTGTCGCGCGTCCTTGCGCTTGTAAAATCCTCTGGCGGCGCACCCAGGCGACAGTGAAGGCAGAGAGAGGAGCAAGATCTATGGCGGCGGCGTTTCCACCCATGTCATCATGGGGGCGGCGCGGGCGGGGTGCTCTAGTTTTTACCTCGACGTCTTTCTAACAAACACCATAAGCAGCCACCTCGATATCTTTCAATCAAACGAAGGGCGACATTAAGATCCAGATAAGATTGAAGGCGCATGACCTTGTGTTTTGACAAATAAAGCGGATACACGTGCATATGCAAAAAACCCAAGGAAAATGGTCAAGACCCTATGCTCTTGTTATTCAAGTTCTTGCATAAGTC